GTACAAAGTGTTTACATTTAATAATAATAATAATAATAAATCATTTATTTATTAATTTATTTTTTTGCTCTCTTCCTTTTTCTTTGATTGAATTTTCTTTTAGAGGGACTCTGTTCGATAATAAAAAAAATTCTCTCTCACTTTCAACTTTTTCCGATTTTTCCATTTTTATTGACTTTGTTTTATTTTTTCTGTTCTTATTATTTTATTGATTGATTTGCATTTAGTTGAGTTGTTTTTTCTACTTTTATTCGCCTGCTTTATACGACGTAATTTACAAAATTATATATAAATTTGCTCTTAAAAAGAACAATTAAGAAAAAACAAAAAAAAAAAAAAAAAAAAAAAAAAAAAAAAAAAAAAAAAAAAAAATTTATTTTTATTAAGATTTGAAATTTTCATAAAAGAAAATTTAATAATTAAACGCAAACTCACTACCACTACTAACACAGATGTTGTTTTGTTTGTTTTGTTTGTTTTGTTTTACTATAGTTTCTATATACATAAGTGTATATACATACATGCATAAGCATGTAAAAGCATGTTTTGCTTAAGTCTATTGTTTTAAATGTTTTAATATTTTTTGTACTTAATCTACACAACTATAAATTTAATTTTTTTGAAAAGTTTTGTGTGTGTGTGTATGTGTGTGTGTATATGTAAGTGATAATGTGTGTTTGTGTAAATATACATATGTTTTGTTTTTATCATGATTTTGGATTTTTTGTGTTTTTCCTTTTTTTTTTATTAACCTATTGTTTTCTGTACATATATTAAATTCTTTATAAAATACTTTTTGAGTTCTCGTTTTTGTTTTTCACTTTTCTTGTTCTTCTTATAAAATATAAAAAATATTATTTATTGCATATGTAGATGTGTCTTTCATAAAACTTTTCCTTTATATTCAATTATTATTATTATATATTTTGTTAAATTTTAATAAAAATTCTTGCATATCTATTATTAATACATAATATTTCATTTTCTTTTTCTTTTTTTTTTTTTTCTTTTTTTGGTTTTTGTTGTTCATTATAACATATATTTTTGAAAAGTGAAGAAAAAAAATAAAATAATATTAAAGAAGTTGTTAAATTGGTGGCATTTGTTATTGAGTTGTTTTTGTGCTTTTCTTTTTATGGTAAAAAAAAAAGGAAAAATCAATTCTGGAGCGGGGATATTCTTGTCGCAGCAGTCCTTAAAGTGTCCCACTCCTTATGTAAAGGAAATTTTCTTTTACACCCGAGAGCGCAAATGAAGTTCATTTGAGATGCTGTAAAATCAACAGAGTTTGAACAGAAATACAAACATTTGTCTTTCCCAACAAAATATCGCGCATTCGTTATGAAAACGAGAAACTACTTTTGCCCTATCTACTGCAGACAGACTCTGCACAATTTTGCAGAAATAACTTATTCAAGCTGTCTTCGCCCTTGGGCGTTGCCTACATTCTAAAATTCAGATCGATCAATGTGAAATAATTAATTGAAAATTTGTTTTCAGTACCAGTAATAGTAAGAAAATATCGGCTCTCTCTAGGTCGACGCCTAGTCGACGTAGGAAAGCAAAAGGTAAAATTCTATCAGTTTCCTATATATAGGAGATGACGGACGGATAGACAAACGTTGGAATCGCCATTCAAGAATACATATATATTCTATAAGAATTTCGCAGTGCGTACATTACGGGCACAAATAGCTGTATCTCCGTTCCTCATCCATCCCTTCCATCAAGAAAAAGAAAAATTTCTTTAAAGTAATTTATTCGGAAAGTTCTTACTTTTAACCGGTTAACTGTGCACGACGAATATATGCGTCATGAAAAAAAGCAGAAAATTTTGTGTTATGAAGAATACGTATGTCATGCATGATCCGTCCATCTGTCCTTGTCGGATTTCCTCGTAAAATTTTATCGTTGTGAATGTGTGTTTGTCATTTTGTCAAGTTATTTCATTATAACCTAATTTCCCATTACACATACTTTGTGTATGACGTGTGCGATACATTTTTGTGACGCAAATGCATATTTTCTTAAGAGAGCGAAACAGTTAACTGAAAAGCCCTATAAAGTAACTATGTCGTATAAGTGAAAAAGTCAAACATTAATCTGATTGAGAAATTGAATTAACTGCTTATTAATCGATAGCCCCTTCCCCCTAGAAGTTTAACAATTTAAAAAATATTCATTTTCATTGGCAAGAATGTACCGACTTTTGCTAATAATCGAAATTGAAAAAAAAAAAAAATAAATAAATAAATTATTTTTACGTTTAGCTTTTCGGAAAGTTTACGTATTTCATTACCATCCTATGGTAATGGAAATCGTCAATGTAAATAAAATATAAAAGTTGATATCTTTTACATTTTAATTATGATTTCACTTTTCAAAGAAGTTTTGTAAGAAGTTTTTTAAAAACTCTCTCGAAACAAAGAAAAGAAAAACGTTCGAAATAAGTGAAACGTTCTTTTTTTCTTCTTTTCATTCTTTAATTATGCATTAATCGAAAAGGAGAACGAAAAACAAGACATCCCAAAAGTGAAAAGAAATTAATTTAAACAAAGATTAATAAAAAAAAGTAAGAAAAAAAAATCGGGGAAAAAATTTTTATTATGGAAAATGGATTTTCTTAATTTTTTTTTTTAGTTTTAAAAACTCTTCTTGCTTTCAGTATGCCCACCTCCCTCTATATATACACAGACATGTATTTTGTTCCCTTGAACCATAGAAAAATTAAACCTTCTTTCCGCGTTTATCATAATTATCATGATTGTTATCCCCGCTCGAAATTTTAATCAAAACAATTTACCGTCACTCAACACACTCAAAACTGACGCTCCCAATTTCCAACTAAATCACATTAGTCATCATTTGAGCGTATTATAAATATTGTCAAAACCCCCTGAATCGTTTCCATCCGCGTTAGCTGCCACTACCGGTGCTGTCACGTTATTCCCAATGTTGCCGCCACCGCCGCCTACCACGTCAACGGTCGTAATGTGCGAGCGATCGCGTGCATGTCGTGCCTCCTTTTTCGAATTGGAATTACGCCTTCGTTCCTTGACCGATTGATGGTCGCCGTTCGATGGCTCCTCACCTACATATAAAGTATGATAGCTAATTGAATTTGCCGGGCAATTGATTTGTACCCGACTAATGGCATTGCCTAAGCCTGTCGAATTGTTATTGTTGTTGCTATTTGTTGTGGGATTCAAAGTTGGATACGTAAGAGAGGCATAATCACCGTAGTCGTCTGAGATCTGTGTGGAATGTGTGGCGCCTGAGAAATTATCACGTGTATGATGGTTATGACTGGGTATGCCACCCATGGCGCTGACTTCGTGACAGATTTCCGCATAAATATTCTCCTTGGCATAGTCAATTAAATGTAAAGCTTGACGTATAGTGCCAGCAGGAATATCAGGCGGGCTGCCTTCATCGCTGGATAATACCAATGAATCGCGTACACTGGAATAGGGTAAGTCATCTTCGATAAGATTATTGGATGTCAATGACGTTAATAAAGAAGTCGTTTGTTGATTTACAGCGTTAACGCCCGTTAGAAGATTCAAACCGCCAGTAGCTCTTCTCCCAGTTACCGGTTCACCTATGTTAAAGTCTAAACGTTTTTCCATTGGATTACGATTGCCATGGAGCGGTTGATGTTTTAGCTGAGCTAATGATCGCTTATTATCGCCAATTTGCAATTTCTGGGGTAACGAGAAATTCAACAACTGATGCAGACTCGAAGATGATTTACTATATTGTCGCGTTTTTACATGAAATTCGTTGTATAGTTTTTCAGTTATGAAAGACTGTTGCAAAGGCTCATGATTTTCAACATCTTCCAAGTCCGTGCCAGCTTCCGAAATTGTATCAGTGGTTTGATGAGAAGCTACGAGATCTGGTTTACGGGCATTGACTGTGATTAATTCAATGTCTTGCAAAGACATCGATTTTTGCAATTTAACCATTTTCCCGGCCTTAGTAGAACCATATCTTCGATTGGGTTTTTCTTCGATAGTAGCGAAAGTGGTAGCTTCGCCATCCGAGCAGCCAATATCGCTGGCACCGCCACTTGGCTCGGAAGTTAACTCATGCTCGTTACCTGAGGTGTTTGGCTTCTCTCCGAACCTTTCTTGCAATAATTTGGACATGTCCGAGTAACGCTCCATACTCATGCGTTTGGCTTGCTCATCCAAATCCATGGCATTTACAAAATTCACAGAATTTTTGTCTGGCTTACGAAACCATTTCTTTTTGGTGGTTTGGAAAACTTTCATTTTATCGGTTATGCGATTCGTGCTTTGATCGAAAGATTGCTCTTTATGCTCTAAATTGGCCAAGTCCGATTTGCTAAGAAATATTATCGAATCCTCTTTCTCATGAGCTGATATCGTGGTTTTTTCACGCCTCAACAGCTTGGGAAAATGCAAAGGTTTCAATATCTTTAAGCCGTCAACGCGACTTTTCGAAGTAGAACGTTCGGAACGGTTTAGAATTTCTACTTCAACCATTTTTAGAAACTGATCACAGTTAAATTGACAGAATTTCAAAATATTTTGAACATTGGGATTAGCGAGCATTCGTTGTTCGCTCTCAAAGCCCAATGTGTTACGCAAGAAATTCATTTCTTTGGTTAGCTGCAGCTTTCGCAAATCCAAAGGACTTTGCATTTCCACGTCCTCAATGGGGCAAGCAATTACAATATTTTCCGAGCTGATACGAGTAATAGACAAATTTTCTGGTATAGCACTGGCACAGCCAGTGGGTCCTGAAATGTAGCGCAAAGTAATCGGTAATTCTTTGTTTGGAGTAATTAAAGCTGTTATACGGTGCACGCAATCCGGATTAATCTTTTTAGGATGAATGTTTCCGCTATCATTCGTTGACGTGTCCAGTCGTTTCTGCAATATCTGAGGTATACCTGGCTCGATTTCATAAAATTTGCCCTTGGTAGCCAATGAAACATACAAAGTTTGGCGTTGCTCATTTAATAGTTGAGCGTAACGGCTTTTCTCTTTCTCACGACCGTGACCGTTATTTTGTTTGGCGGAACCTAAACCGCCACAAGAAATACTCGCACCCATAGCCCCGTGCTCTTGTTTACCGTCCTCATAGACGGCCAACAATTTGAAAACTTGTCCCCCACGAGCAGTAGTCTTAATGTACTGAGGTCGATTATTGGTGGGCGTATTGCCATTAGCCGAATAAATATTTAAACATCCTTCCGTGGGCGAATTCGGATTACTGTTACTATTCGGTTGGGATTCTGTAAAAGCGGGCATATTTTCCACAGAGACAAATTTACAAACTCGTTCGCGTACCAATTGTATTAAAGAGGTGTATTGCGTGGCCGTAGGCATACCCTTGTCGTTAAGTAGAGAAAAGTATCCTAAAACGAAAATAGAAGAAAGCAAGAGCAAGACATAAATATTAATGAAATAACTTTGGAACACAAAAAAATAAGATTTGAAAGATGACTTTGGTCCTAAAATTTTATCGGGAAAAATGCAAAGGGCCCTTGGCAGTGAGAATCTGAGACTGTCCAATTCGTTGGTTCATGTCGAGATAAAACGTGATACACTTGTCTGATGTATAAATATATTAACTCTAACCTTGTTATGGTTTTTTTTTGCAACAAATCATACCATGGTGTGACCGCTCGATGTATCAATGTTAACCCTAATCTTACCATGTTTTCTAATAACGACTCCTACCAGAATGTGACCGACTGTACTCTGAAATGGTAAGCACAGTTTCGCTACGCATCTCGGGCACAAATATTAATCTTGATTGGGGCCTTCTTGCCTAAGATACAGGACCACTTTTGACCCCAAGGCTGTAAGACACGTCTTGTTATAATAATTTAGATTTTGTGAAAAAGCTTAATTTTGACCTCACGACTAATTGCAAATTTATAAACTATTTTTTGTATGTGTAACATGAAATAATCACAAAATTTAAGTTCAAAGGCTTACCCTGCGGTAAGGTTAGGGTCAATGGTGCGATATTTTGTAAACATAGAACGAAGACATTTAGACGCAAAAGTATATTTATGTTTTTATTCTTGCGAAATTACAGTTTCAAACTTTAATGTCTCTTGCTCTATAAACAGTTAAGTTGTATTTGCATTCAACTCGAGAGAAATAACTTTATAAATATATGTTTAAGTATTTACTAAGAAATAAATCAACAGAATTCAAGTTAATATAATAATAAATAAATGAAAATATTGTGTATTTGACGTTGCTTTAATTTTACTGTCCGTTCCCAATAAGCTCTAATACAAATAGAAAGAGATGTAAAGAGATTTTGAGATTTACATATCGCTTCCTATTGGATAGGCAGCCATATCTACCCTTCTTGCTTTGTAAACATACATAGTTGCAGAGAGGAATGCATAGTGTATAATAAATAGATTGCCTTTAGTAGTAACATAGTAGTGCGTTGATGTTGCGCTGCTGTTGCTGTTTTTGCTGTTATTGTTGTTGTTGTTGTTGTTGTTGTAACATTAAGCAGTTTGCAATTAGCACGTAAAATGAAAATGTTTAATGAGGCACAAATATGTACACTCACATTCAACCATACAACATAATAGAGTGTAAGTATAAGCAATGAAAACTGCCTCATTGACTGACTGGCGAGATGACGGGTTGTTTGACTGTAAACGACAATAAAAGCCATTGCTCGCATCGTGTAAAACTTAATTTCAAGTGTTTTGTTCCCTCTGTGCGTCGCTGATTAAATTTCATCGTTTAGCCGGGGTTAGCCGTTTGACTGGCTTTCTAATTGCTTACGAAATATGAATGCGCTTCGAGTTGGCACGCAGGTATCAAATTATTATTATACTTTTAAGGCACTATCCTCGTCTAAAGAAGGATCTGAAATTTAAGACTAATTTCGTACATATACACAAGCTTACTTACTTATGCAGTTATGCAAATACGATATGCATTTGGTCAGTAACTTGAATATGGTTTCATTTAGGAAAAGCTCACACAAATGCGTTTAAGAGAATTGCCTTTTGCTATTACGCTATTGCATATCTTGTTGCAGAACATTTCACCGCACATGTTATAGTTAGTTTAAAGGGTACGTAAGAGTGTAGAACTGTGTATGCGCTAATGACGAGAAAAGTATCAATTAATTACGGGAATTTAATTGTTTCAGTAGCAAAATTTATGCAAAGCATAAACTATGCGCGAAGCATAATAACACAGAGATGTACGTCGTTGATGCAAATTGTGAGGACAGTTTAATGTTGTAAGGAAGAAGTTTGATTTCAATAGCTTCTCCGAAGGATAATAGGCCTTTGGTGAACGGCGTATAATCGATTTGAAATACTCTCCCACTTGAAATATTCTAAAGGGAGTTCTTCTTACACATATTCTTCTTCGATCTTCTCACTTTACACGAACTATTCTTGGGGCAAAGAAAAATTCTCACATGGCGTTTGAAATATCCGATTAATCCTGCAAAATATCTAAAATTCTAAGAGATTCCGTGGACCAACATCGATTTATATACCTTTGCCATTTCAACTCGTTCCACCATTGCCAGTATTTTCTAAACTGTGAGAAATAAGATGATAAACTAGCAACAAGCTACCTACAAGCAATTTCATGTTGACCCAATTAATTATATAAAGAAATTTTTTCTAATAAACTTTTATTTAAGCGAACCTAAAAGGCGCAAAATAAATTTTATCGCACTCACTCAGTTTCCTCCCGAAGCGTTAACCGTTTCAATCTGTTACTTTTCGTTGAACTCTCTTATTTGACGTTCGTATGGAGGGGACATGGTGTTCCAATTTGAAGTGCAAACGCTTTGCTTGTTACATTTTATTTCTTATATAATCCCTTTTATTTTATTCCCCCCAAGATTCTCTGTTGTGACTTTTATTTTAAATATATAGCAACGTCTGTACAAAACTTCAGTGTGGGGGGAATTTAGAAGTGCTCCACATATCGATTGAAAGTCTCCATGTCAGAAAATTAAGTGCATATAGAATAGACAGACAAAAGTCGAGCGTGATCGGGAAAGTTTCTACAAATTAGGAAGATTTTTACTTCCATTAATACCTTTATGGCCACAAAAGAATTATTTTTATACTCTACACTCTTGCAGTGCAAGAATATACTAAGCTTGCTCAGATGTTTGCAACACCCAGAGGGAGGGACTTGAGATAGATATTATCCAAGCTTGTCTGTCCATCGGTCCCTACTGCATTCTTGTGTTCAACCTACAGAGAGAGAGATGATGAAATTTGGTACAATGATGTGTTTTGGCCAAAGGACGTAGTCTATTGGAAATGGTTCTGATCGGTTCAGTTTCTCGATCATTTATTTTGAAGAGTCGTTGTATAATTTCTAAATTTTTTAGGAAATAAATTAAATTTGCTAAATTTTGATCACGTCATATCTTCGGCATCCTTCAATTTGTGAGTCTTCGGGGAAAGTGCGCTTTTACACACAAAAAAAGTGCTATTTTTGGTGTATTATTACCAAAACGAGAGAATAACCGAAGAAGAAGAAGGGGCGGCATAAGTTGTCTAATGGTTAGCCTTGCCCGACCATGATGTTCTTACTTATTTTTAAGACACGATACGCGATAGTGAAATGCAGGGTGGTTCTGGTGGCCCGCGGTCATCTGCAGTGCCTTTATTTGTTCAATATGCAGATTAGAAAAACCTCGCCGATACAAAATTAGCCAAGATACATCTGATCTCGCCCTCACCCTCTTTTACTATGCAGTGTTTAAATTAAAATATTGAAACTGAGTAATTATATCGTTCACTAATTATTGCAAATCAAATGGGAGAATGATTGTTGGTGAGTGATTGTATTGGAAGAGATTAAAGTCGCAATGAGATATTGATCTGATAACTTGGCGTAAATAATAACAAGCGATTTGTGCAAATGCGATATGAAAATCGGTCAACTAGGGCGTTTAACCTAAACAAAAATTCTTACACGAGTACGGTTGGGATCTCCTATGTCCTTGTTCCGAGCATTACAAATTAGAATACAATTATACAAGTTTTACACATTTAGTTAGTAGTAGGCGTGTACTTTAGAATAGATGCACATATATATGTATGTAAGATTTGACGTAGACTTCTCGGGCTATCATTAAGTTTATTGATGAATATAATGGCAATGATTCATTAAACTTTCTTTTTTATTATTCAAGTCGTTCGCCATCATTATCGTCATCAATTCATTTGTGTAAAGCAAGAAGGAAAAAAAGAAAGAAAAAAATTACTCTCTAAAGAATCATTTAAAGTGTATTTAATATGCACTAGTCTCTGGTAGAAAAGCGCTGTAATTATCTTTTGTGAAATAAATCTAATGAATTGCCCTGGGTCTTTATCATGCACATACAGCCAGCAACAACTAAACGTGTACTCAATGGCATTCTGTATAAACCATATACTCCGCTGCTATGGCCATTATATCACTACTCGTTACATACATACGTGCATCCATACATACATATACACATACGTATATACATCTTCAAAGTGCAACGATATCAATAATCCTTTTTTATACACCTCTCCTCTATAAACCTGACATTGGTGTGTAGATGAAATAACATACACATATAGATAGATAGATTTTCTCTATATTATATTTGACACTTTTAAGCTTTACTTGAGAAATGAAATTAATGCTAAATGAATGGGAATGTCACAACATGTCCACAATCAGTATATTGCCAGTCCACTCGAACATTTACTGACGTCGACAGCGTAGTAGCCATTGCCACTATTGCTATCGCTCGCTACTACCCCTATTGCTACTCCTACTGCTATACTTTTGCTACTGCTAATATTGTTATTTGTGCTTTAGTAAAATGTCTAAAAACGACAGTGAACAAATAGTTGATGGAAAAAATGGATGATTGCATAAAAAAATGTGTATCTGTGTACAATATAAAAAAAAAAAAAAGAGCATTTGGGCAAAGAGTGTCTATAACCTCTACGGCGAAATTCACTGCAATTCAATTAAATTCAAATAGAGAGAACGCGGGCAAGTGTTAAGAAATACAAGCAAGAAAATAATGCTTATGTTTAGAAAGATATCTTCTTGCATATATGTGATAGATATTTGTTATCTGGGATTTAGTACGACTTGAAACTTGAAATCTAAATGCTCATTATTGTCATATTGAAATTACTTCTTACCGTGTTCGTTAGCGAGAATGGAATATTTATACTTATCTACAGCGTATATATATATATATAATATATATAAGTACTTGCAGCAAATCTTAGATCAATACGACGGGTTTTTCATATTTTTTTTTTTTTTATTCCTCGCGTACTTTTAATTTTCTAATTTTCTTTAACCACCGTAGGCACAGTCTGAATTCTTTTATAAGCAGAAA